CTGCTGTCACCGCGGGGCTAATGATTTCAGATCCATCACGGCGGGGGCAGGTGTGGAAGCAATCGCCGGCAGAGTGACTGCGGTGTCAAGCTCAAGATATAATTGAAAAATGTAACGTTGAGGAATTATAGTTGAGACAATTCTCTCCTCCGCCGTTAGGAGGAAAATCGATGCTGTCAGGTGGGTGCCTATGAGCACCAGGCAGCCAGGGCAGGGCTGGCCTGGGCAGGGGACACCACCAAGACTCCTCTGGAGCTGCTTCTGCTGCCAGCACCCTGTGAATGTGCCTGCTGGGGATGTGGAGCTGACCCCATCCTGCCAGGCTGTTCCCTCTAGCAATCGTTTCCCATTCATGTCCTGGGCTAAGATCCCAAACTGATGCAAAAATGGGAAAGAAAGTTTTGCCATATGGCCAAAACCCAGCGTGCCACATCCTGGGAGACCTGTGTGTGCCTTCCTGTGCTTCCAGCATGAGGCTGTGCTACCTGGCTCTGGCCAAAATCACCTTCCTCCTGCGGTGCCATGGGGCTGAGCGTGGCAAGAGCCTCACGGCTCAAAATAGCCCCCGGCTGCCAGAACAGTGTCAGGAAATGGCATTGTGGGGGTGGGCTGGGCTCATTTCAATCATATCAGTGTCCAGCCTGGATTTTGGGAACAGGGTGGTTGTTGTTTTGCAGGAGATATTGTAAACAGTGTAAATTCAGCTCCCGGTTGCATTGCTGCGTAGCCTTGTAACTCCATTGTCAGCTTGATTGTGCCACCAAAATAGGCTGTTTCCGTATGAATCCACATCGGTGCATGCTCCTCTTCCCATGGGGCTCTGGATGGGATGGCAGCACCAGCGGCCTCACCTGGGATCCTGCTGGGAGTGGGACATGTTCCCAACCATGCCCAGGACACAGGGTGCAGTGCCCAGGGATGGCACATCCCCATCCATCACTGCTGTGCTGGGGACTCGTGCCGTTTGCTTTCATCCATGCAGCGAGCATGGGGCAGATTCCCAGCATCTCGCAGGGCCAGAGACCACAGGACACTGCCCAGAGGGAGCATGAGAAAGTGTGGCTGTCACTGGCCTCGGCTCCCTCCCCTCTGCTGGCTCCACAGCACACAGTGTAACCAGGAAGGTCTGAGCCCCCAGCATGGGGCTCTGGTGCCTGGGCCCCTCTGTGCTTGTCCCTGCGGGGATCGTGCCCAGGCTGCTCTTCACCCACCCATCACGGTGCATCCTTCCTGGCATAGGGCAGTAGTTTTCCCTTGGGCACATGCAGAGAAGTGGTTGGGATGCAGGAGTCGCTCCGCAGCTCCTGAAACCCCACTGCTGCTACTGCCCAGCACATAAAAGCAAACAGCCGCTGGGGCGGTAAATGAACTCCTGCTAGTGCAGAGTTTATGGCTGTACCCTAAAGCCTGCTAGCGCCGAGTAAAACCGCGATCCCAGAGATCGATGGCCATCATTCAGGCAGTCCCTGCTGGGTCCCTGCTCCTCCTGGGAGCAGGGAATGCCGGCAGCCCTCTCCACCCTCTGGGGACATCGTTGTGAAACGGATGGTCTCCATCCCCAGCTGGGAAGAGCTCTTGGCTGAGGCTGGTGCAGGGATCCAGGCTGGAATGGCATCATGCTGGGACATTGCTTCAGGGCATCATGCCAGGCTGATGCCAAGCGGGGAGGGGATTCAAGGGTTGACGTGGGGGTGCAGGCAGATGACCCCATGTGTGGTGTCCCCTGCCTCAACATTCCCAGAACCCACACGCTCCTGTGTCAGGGCTGTTCTATCAACTGCTGGCTGCTCCCCTGGGCCTTGCTGGGAACCTGAAGGGGATGGAGCAAACCGTCAGGGACACAGGGATGGTCAGGAGGAGCCAGGAGAGAGCAGGAGCAGGTCCGCCCTGGATCTGGCAGTTCTGCTTCCCATTCCCATCCTCATTCCCACACTAGCAGCCCATCGAGGGGCAGTGGCAGACCGGGTGCTTTGCCATCTCCTCCCAGTGGGGTGTCTCTCCAACACCCCCCCTCGGCTCCAGCGCTGCGCCTGGGGAAGGAGAGGGGGGAGCTGTGCTAATGGCCTCTTGACATCGGCTCACACGCCACGTCCGCCCGCAGGCGCGGGGCAGTCAGATTGAAAACAGATTTAACTTCCCAGATATATCGTTTCATTTAAGGGCCAGTAATTCTGTCAGTCTGCCACTGACAAACGAGGGTCCCCATGCCAATCCGCCGGGGAGACTGATGTCGCGGCGCTCATCTCGTGTCACCAGGCAGAGAATTACGGACTGCACTGGCCTTCGGAGGCAAGACTAATAATGCTGCGCGGCAGAGGGGGATTTGGGGGCCTGCTTGTTTATCGAGGGCCGGCCAGGCAGCCGCGGCGCGAGGCCACGCGGGCGGAGGTGGGAGAGGTCAGCGCTGACGCCCATAAATACGAACTTTAACTGAGTCTAGATGAGATGTGTCAGGACTGAGGGAAGATTTGCAGCATCTCTTCAGGAAGAAAAATATGGGCCAGGGGTGAAATATATTTTGTTGGGTCGTGAGTCTCGGGCAACTTTGTCCTTTCAGATGTAATTTTTTTATGTATGTATCTATGGAGAGATACACAGAGAGAGATGTGCGTACACACACTTGCACGCTCACGTTGTGTCTGGTTTCGGTTTGGTTTATATGGTGTCTCGCACAGGCTGCTTTATATAGGAGTTACTGCCACACATACATATAAATATGGTGCACAAGGGGTGCAGTGACCTTTAGATTGGGATGAGCAGCCAGGAATGTTAAACAAATTGCCACAGTTTCAGCCCCAAGGCGGGGCTGGGCTGGTCCCTGCTGCTGGCGGAGGGGCACAGTGTGGCTGTGGGGAGGTGGGCTGATGCTGATCCCTTCCTTGGCCCCTCTGGGCCTTGGGGCTGGGGCAAGACACCCTCCCATCCACGGGCAAGCACCAGTGAGTGAAGGGGAACGACACACACTGAGGGCATCACTGTTCCCGTGGACCAAGGGGTTCCCGAGGCTGGGCGGCTCTCCCTTGCTTCTCATTAGAGATCTCAGAGCCACGACAAAGCCTATTTGTAGGCAGTTGCTTCTCTGCCTTTAGCATGCGTGGGTCATCTTGACCCCATCTCCTGGCCAACAGCCAAAGTGTTTTTGGCAGATTTAAAATCTCCTTCTGGTCATGGATGCTGCAGCAATGTTTAGCATCCTATGCACTGGGGGAAATGTGACAGCTTTCCCTGCCTGGTGGCGATCCGGCTGGCACAGCCCTGCCCTTGTCCTGGGGTGCACATAGAGTCACAATGCCCATGCATTGCTGCAGCCAGCTGCCTGCAAGCCCCAGCAAAGCACAGTAGCCTGGGTCATAGCCTCGTGCTCTGCCAACAAGGAGATGAGATCCTTCTGCGAACATAGTCTTGATGTTTTTTTGCTTTAAGATGCCCATCGCAGTGGTATCTGGGCAGTGGGATGGGGACCTCCATTTGCTATTAACACTTTAGACTCGTGGGGGTTTTCAATGCAGGTGACTGGTGGATGGTAAACCACTTTTGTACTTCTCGGTAGCCAAGGTGATGGGTCCTGCTTGCGCCCAATAATTTCCTGGGCTGTAACTCGGGATGCTGGCATGTGCCATGTACCTCTGGGTATGGCGCAGTCCCACTCCCTGCACAGGTGGTCCAGGGCATCCTCCACCTCAGGTACCACCATCTGCCCTTGACCAGCTTTGGGATGCTGAGGAGCTGGGGTAGCCTGACCCCATTCTGGGGAGCCCCAGCACTCCCAGGGACTTCCTCTCCTTGTGCCTGTTGCAGGATGTTTAAAACTACAATGCATGCGGGTCCTGCAGCCCTGCACCCGGGCAGTGCTCTGCACATCCTGCCACCCATGCTTCTGCACACCCTGCTCCCATCCAGACCGTGGTCCCAGCCCATTTGCCAAAGGGAAATGCATTTTTCTGTGGATCACAGGCCTTCAGCAACAAGGAGCTTTCAGTGGCCGGGCAGCAGGGCAGTGTTCTCCCTGCCCGAGGAGGGTTTTGCTGCCACGTTTTGTGAATGGGTTAAATGCCTGCTTTAAAAAAAAAAATAATACATTAAAATTGCCTCTTAAAGGCAGATTGCATCAGGTCCTTGACAAAGCTCTCCATTGAAAAGCCTTGACATTAAAAGGGAAAGATCCTTTGCTTAACTTTTATAGGCGAAAGTGCATGCGTGCCGCCTCGCTGCGAGGATTGATTGACTCTGAGTGGCCATCCATTAGCAGCCTCTGCTCCAGGGAGGCCAGACTGGTGCTGGACGCAGGGGAGGTGATCTCCAGCTGGGAGCTGGAGCAGGATGCCCACTGCTGCCCCATCTCAGAGCATGGGGACACCCAACTTGGTGTCGGGACACAGGCAGGGCTGGGGTCCCAACCATGTCCCCCCATGCCATGGCCACATGGCTCTGGTGAACTGTGATGCTCCCAGGAAAGGCCACAGGAGAGGGGAACAGCCATGCAGCAGCCATGCAGGGCAAAGCATGCTGTTGTTGGTATGCAGGGAGGTGCTCTGCTGTGGGAGCTGGAACCACCTGCAGAGTTTGGGAGAAGCTGATTAGTAATTTTTAAAGGAAGAAACGATTTCGAAACGGTTGAAATGTTTCCTTCTTCCAGAATTTTTAAAAACCATTTTCAAAACAAAGCTTTCAGTCTGTCCCTTCTGGAGCTCATCCCACTCAGGAATGAGGCACAGGAAGGAGCTTCCAAAACAACACTGCGA